GAGAGTTATGTCATTTATCATTATGTTAAGTAATTTTCTATGTTGTTATATTTTTCTCAATTATCAAAGATATCCCCTTGATTTCCTTAAATGCTATCTCTTCGGTATTTCTTATATTTTTATGTCTCTATAGATTTTTCAGATTTGAAAAAAAAAATAATTTGTACTAACCTGCCATAGAATATCTTTGCTTGATGTATTTTATGGTACTCATAAGGTGAGCATGATGACTTATAACGATAAAATTCGGGGATTTATTCCCGTTGTGAGTACGGCACAGATAGCCCATTGTGTAGCTTTTCCGTGGTGAGTACGGCACAGATAGCTCATTGTGTAGTTTTTCCGTGATGAGTGCGGCACAGATAGCCCATTGTGTATTGTGTTTTGTTTTTTTTCACTTAACAACAAAACAAACATTCCAGAATATTTTAGTTGTTGGCTTTTAATTAAAATTTCACCACTGAAAGGTGATTTGAATGTCATCATTTCTTTGAGAACCTCTATGTCTAACTAAGACGTTAATTGTTCAGTTCGCTTGCCAATTCTTTTAAATCTTTTGATGCATATTGTTTCTTTTAAGAATATTATGATGTTTTTTTCTGTAATCTTTTCACTTTTTTTTGTGAAAATAACCACAATTTAAAATATTCTAATTACCAAAACTTTCAATTAAAAGCCAGCTATTTGAAATGTGTATAATGGGCATAACAATGTAACAACTTGATTGTAATAAGATCATATTATAAAGTAAAATATGTTTGTACAACATATCTTTTTTTTGGTACGAAAATTAAGATATTAGTTTGAACTCACCAGTTAGTTTCAAACGTATGCATAGTTTGTTAAATCATTTTGCTATTCCACTTTGAGGCTGCTATTAGTACTAATGATTTGGTTGATTTCTTTCCTGATAATATTTCTATGGATAATATTGTAGTTTAAACAAAAAATAAACGGCTGAAATGAGTTTTTTAAAGCTGTGGAAACACTTTGTTGATGAGGATAATCTTTTTGTACAGAAACTAGATTAGATACTGGCATTACTATGGTCTAACTTAATTAAGGCTTACTAAGATTAATGAAGACAGCCTCCGTAGGAAAGAGACCCTACTGATCAATAAACGGAGGACATTGTTTGACCAAACTCGCTCAGACGAATATATTGCTTTTAATATATACATCCATTAAACTTAGTAATCTTAAAGACACTGACATAATCTCATTTTGGGGATTTTTAGGACGAAGTACGGGAAGTGCTATTAAACATCCCATTGAAACAATGAGTTTCATGATTAATACACATTGGAGCTTATTGAAGTTTAATTGAACTTGTATAGTTTGTATCTAAACAGATGTTATGTTATTAATTCCCCGAATATTTAATCTGCAAGTTGACCAACTAGTTATAGAAGACGCGGTGTTTATTAAATTTTACGTGAAATTCCCGTTGCTCTAGTTATAAACTAAAAAGATATACTTAGATTATTTTATGAATTAGCTACCAAAGGAACTTTTTCCCTATTAAGAAGAATAAATCGAGATCCAAATATTTCTTCGTCACACTTGGTTTAATCTTAAGATGATTTACTCATTGAGCTTATAAACGTCAAGTTAACTCTATCATCACCGCTTGAGTTATCCAACAATAACTTTGACCAGAAAAGGCCCCGATCATTATTTACTTCTTGAGTCCACATGCAACTGAAAGAAAAATATTAATTAACTCTATTACCAACGCTTGATTTATATAACAATAACATTCACCAAAATATGCCCCGATCGTTATTTACTTTTGAGTCAACATACAACTGATGAAAGAGCAGCTTAAGTGTACCACCGACACTTGAGTTGTGTAACAATACTATTTACCAGGAAAAGCCGTGAGGTAGTTTAGGAGACGAATTAATTGTTAAAGTTTTATAATATATGCATCATTCTTTAAGTGTTAAGTCAATGTTAGAGATTTATTATTGTCATTCGCTTGTATTTGATATAGTTTAGAAAGAAACCAAATACCGTTTTTTTATTATTATTTTGTCTACATTTGGAGCAAAGCTCGACATGTTATTGATCGTCCCTTAAAATACTTTTATGTATCAAGCAAACAAATTAGTTTAATATTTTAATAAAAACGTTGAAATAATGCCTTTTGTTCTTTATGGAAATCAAACTGAACAAATATTTTTTATTATGGTTTGTCAATAATCTGCCAAAACGTCTAAAATGTCCGCAAACTTATTTTTCTAAATCAGTTTTAAAAGTTACTCTGGATAATATTACCAAAATTTGGTTGCTGTTTTAATTCGATATAATGGCTGATTTTACTCACATCACCTCGATATAAT